TTTGGGAGGTCACATCCGTTTCATACTATCCGGAGGGGCTCCCCTTTCTAGCGACACCCAAAGATTCATCAATATATGTCTCGGGTCAGTATACTCTACTCAATACTTTTGATTGTTGTTTAATATGTATAATAATTTATTTCGGATGACACCGAATATCATCCGTGTGGGAAAGTATAAAGGGAACCTTTTTTTTATTTTTTTGGGCGAAATGGTAGATATTTCATTCGAAAGAATCAATATGAGCTTTGTGTTATTGTTATTGATAAACCATTAGTAATTGAGCTTCTTGATTTTCAATTTTTCACCTCACTTAAATTGATTGGGGGCTATGTTGGGTAAAACTAGCTGATAGCAGAGCTTATAAGTGAATTTCGAGGTTATAACTGATATTTTATGGTTGAAAAGCGAATTTCGAGGTTATAACTGATATTTTATGGTTGAAAAGCTAGTTGATATGATCAAAGTGTTTGGTAACATTAGTTGATAAGCCAACTGAGATAAAAATTTCAACTGGCTTATTGAAAAGCTACCCAAACAAGCTTATGACATAAGCTCGAGTTTTTTAAAAAAACTTTAAGCTAACTAAATAAGCTATAAGCTAGCTTATGGTGCTTACCAAACACACTCCTAATATACGTGGATTTAATGTTAATCAACTCACCGTTGGTTTTAGCGCTCCAATTGGTCAAGGGTATGGCCTTACTGAGACCTGTGCTGGTGGGACATTTAGCGAGTATGATGATACATCTGTTGGTCGTGTTGGTCCTCCACTACCTTGCTCAATCATTAAGGTAAACTTGATTCATTTTAGTTTGAACAAATGATTCCAACTTTTCACCGTTTGGTCTTGTGATTTAATATTCTGGTAAAAGACTGAAATTGTAACAATTTTAAATTATAGGACTTAAATTAGTAATCGAAAATCTGAGAATTTGGAATTTTGTTGCAATTTTAGTCCTCAAATGACTATGACTGAAATTGCAGCAAAATATTAAATCACAGGACCAAAAAGCGAACCTTGGGACTAAAATTGTTGTGGTGTTCAACCATCGGAACTAAAAGTGCAATTTTTCTGCCTTTTTCTTTATTTCATACTATTCAACATTATTGTCAATACAACATTGTCGAATTTCAGTTGGTCGATTGGCCTGAAGGCGGATATTTAATAACCGACTCCCCAAAGCCACGTGGAGAAATAGTTATTGGCGGACCAAATGTCACCGTCGGTTACTTCAAAAATGAGGAGAAAACAAATGAAGTGTACAAGGTAATGCGTGTGTATTTCACAGTAAATCTCAAGTCATAATCTTGCAAACTTTCTAATCAACTTAATTTGTTAAATTTTAATCTTCTGATGCCCAAAAGGTGGACGAGAGAGGAATGAGGTGGTTCTATTCAGGTGACATCGGGCAATTCCATGCTGACGGTTGTTTAGAGATAATTGATCGTAAAAAGGACATTGTTAAGCTTCAGCATGGGGAATATGTTTCCCTAGGAAAGGTACAAATTTTTATGAGTATTTGTTGCTAAACAGTCCTTGAGGTTTAGTCTAATTCTGAAAAGCCTCTTTTTTTTTTTTTGGTATTTCTGAATTATGACAAAATACAAAACAAATACAAACCTCAG